GGCAGGGCTCTGTTCCTCCTCCTGATACACCCATGCCGGGTTTATGCCTCTGTGATCCATGAAGAGATAAGTCGCAATTAATCCTGCAGGAAAGAGAAACCTTTGCCCGTACCCATAAACACAACATGTGTCAGCAGCGCTCAGTGGTTTAAACAAAGCAAAAGCCTTGTTATTGGTGCAAATGAGTGAAATCCAGATGTTAACCTGCAGTCAACAAATACCTGAACTGCTGTGGACACATTCCCTTGTTTTATGGAAGGAACGCATGGAAAGTGGAGGGCCCGGCCTCACGTAAAGGCCAAGAACTGGGAATACAAATGAACACTTGCAAAGCTCCGTCCTTGCTCTGTCTAGACAATGTTTTTGTGAATCTGGGCTCTTTTCCTGTTTGAGATTCAACCTGAAAAAGGTAAAACTGGGACAGATTTAAGCAGATATATACATCAGCCTCCAGAGATTCGTACCACATCGCTCAGTAGATCCTGTTCATAGTAAGAACACCACAAGTCAGCGTTTTTTGTGTCTCTACTTGGTAATTCTCATTCTTAAACGATTTGAAAAGGGGCTGTCCTTTAGCTTAATGCACACCTTTCACCACAAACAGCAGGAAGCATTTGCACGAGGAACGAGAGGACAAAGGGCTCTTCCAAAGGTAGAGTCACGTTAGGATCAGGACATTCAGCTTTCCAAGCAGATTTGTTCCATGCCTCTTCAAAAGCAACTCACTCTTCCCAAGATTTTCAGCTTGGGGATTTAGGTGGGAGGTTACAAATTGGTTTAATTTAAGGACAGAAGTTTAAGGTTTCTCATAACATCCCTAACACCTGCCTGACAGGAGGATGGAGCCAGGAGGGGCTGGGTTCTGCTCCCAAGGAACAAGGGATGGGACAAGAGGAAACGGCCTCAAGCTGCACCAGGGCAGGTTTAGATGGAGCTGAGGAACAATTCCTTCCCCAGAGGGTGCTCAGGCATTGGAACAGGCTGCCCAGGGCAGGGCTGCAGTCACCGCCCCTGGTGTAGACGAGCCCCTCAGTGCCATGGGTTAGTGGTGGCCTTGGCAGTGCAGGGTAAAGGTTGGACTTGATGAGCTTGAAGGTCTTTCCCATTCCAGCTGATTCCATGATCTGAGCCATTCCCTATAGAACAAGTGGCCCCAGTGAACGTCCCTGATGCAGGCAACTGCTGTCAGAGCACAGGGGGTGCTTTAGGAGCAAGGGAAGCTGCTGCTGCGGTGAGCGCAGGAAGCGCGCGTGGGGCTGAGCGCGGCGGAGGCGGTGCTGGGGGTGTTGTGGAGACGGTGACGAGCACAAAGCCCCCGTGGGTCAGGCGCCGGCGGGCGGAAAGGGGAAGCGGCGAAGGAAGGGCTGCGGAGGCAGCTGGAAACAGAGCGCGGTGCTCGTCAGCAGCGCCGCAGACACAGGAACGGGCACCGAGCTCCAGGGAAAGCTGACCTCCTACAACGGGTTGGGTTGGAAGGGACCTTAAAGCTCATCCAGTTCCAACCCCTTGCCATGGGCAGGGTTATTTACCCCCTCCTGATCCAATGCCTGAAATCTGGCAGTTTCTCCAACTCTTGGGAGCCACCCGTTTCCCTAGGAAAAGGTTGGCCCTCTGTCACTGCTAAATACAGTTTGCCCCCGAAATTTAAAGGACAGGTTCAGGGCTTTTCCTCATTGATAATTAACTCGGGTTGTTATTAAGACAATTGTTGTCTCTCTGTCAAGTCACACCCACCCACAAAAGCTCTTAACTGAAAACTGGCTCTTCTAATTGGAGTTGGCTGTACATCAGACAGTGCACGGGGAGACGGGGATAGGGCACAACTCAACAGCTACTAAAAAGAAAACAAACACCATAGAAAGCAGACGTGGACCAGCTCCACTGGAGGAGTAACTCTGCTCCTTCGATGCTATTTATATCATCGTCATCATGACAAGGAGTCCTAGTTACTGTGCACCATCTCCATGGCGTGCTCAGGAATGAGAAGCAAGCAAGAGGTCTAGAACTGGTTAGCTTATTAAAGGACAAAAATATAGGGATGTATATATGGATGGTAGATGTATGGATACATATGGATACCCTTTGTGAACACAACAGATCACAAACGCACCCAGTGATAGTGTGGAACAGCAGCTCTTTCTCAAACAAGGCTAACCCCAGAGGGTCAACCTGAGTCCAGGTCATCCCACTTGCATCCTACTGAATGCACACACTCTGTACAGCCTACACTGGACTTAAGGGACAAGAGCTACCAGCTTTTATGGAGAATTCACTGTGGAACAGCCTTACAGGTACGGCTGCAGCACGACTTGGATCAGACAGCTCCAGCAAGGGACACAGCACGGTTTGCAAACACCAACTTCTGATCACCCAGGGGTTCACAAGTAGGCATCAGTTGTGTCAACAGCATAGGCAAGACTGCTGGAGAACATGATCTTAAAGGCCACACATCGTGACCAAGCAACTTCCTACTGTTGCTGATGACGACCCTTACTCAGTACATGTCCATACTGTATACTGGAAGGGTAGGATGGAAGGGATGACACCACCAGAAGATTTGTGTTAAGGCTCACTCTCCCTTTGCACCCCACTTGTCTTTGGCACTTGGGCTTCCCTGGAAGATGAGAGCCCCTTTCACAAGGAACACAACTTTGTGGACCCACACCTTGCTCTTACTTCAACCCTCACTGACAAGTAATACCCATGCTGGCAGGTTGGAGGCATTCTGCATCTGTTAATAGGGTCAACACTGAACCTCTGCCCTGAAAGGAGGCTCAGGACAGGGACTGTTTGCTCTAGAAGGTGGGAAAGAAAAAGCAAAGACAAGCAACACAAAAACACCCCGAAGGCTGCTTTTGAGCTCCATGAAATTCCTTTTATGATGCTTATACAAGAAATGAGTAACACCAACTTGCGAACTGCTTCGAGGATGCACCTAACTCTGACATGTGGCTCCAGATGCCTTTCTGAAGACACACAAATAAAGCACAATGCAGGATGGATACAACACAGCCTGGAGAATGCAATGATACTCTCCTGACCTTAAAAAACAAACTGAAACTGTATGTAAAGCTTTCAATCTTATCAAGCAGTGAACATTACAGTGACTGCTGCTAATGAAACCCTGCTCTGATCAATTAAGTACACCTATGTTCCTGTCACCAATCCTGTTTTATTAGACCTTGGTCCTTGGCCTTTCTGGGCTCTGCTTTGTGTGGGACTGCCCTGGAGGCTGTTCCCAAGCAGCTCTGCTTTGTGCTGACACGTTAGCAGTGCCGAAAGGCAATTCCATAGGCTGGGGATTGCCAGCGGCCCCTTCCCAGCACAACCCTGCCAAGAGCAGGGAGCTGCCCTGTGTGTCACCCATGAGAGGCTCTCCCTGCTGCCAGGGCAGGGCTGTGGTCTCCTCCACTGCTGGTGGGAAACAGCCCTGGATCTGCCCTGCTGCCTGTAACAGCCCCAGAATGATGAGTGCATTGGGAGCTATGTGCCAACCACTGTGAAAATCCCCTGTCAGATGGCTGTAGTGAAGTGTTTCCTCACTATTACACTCAGCAGTGCTAGGAACAGAGCGAGCTATGTGGTGGCTAAAGTGTCTTTGGTGAAATACAGGTACACAAAAGGATTTTACCACGTTCGTTCACTGCACGACATCAATAGAAAATGTCAGTGCATGTTTTATTTATGGAGAAAAAGAAAACCAGGAAGGCTGAAGAGAAGAATTCCCCTTTTCTGTCTGAAATCAAGGTAGAGCTGAGTCAAGGTAACATGATTTAAACACTTCAACTGTTTTAGTTCTGCCGATGACTGAACCCATGTAACAGTGGGTTTTTACAGATGCTGTTTTGTGCATACAATACCAAACAAGGATTATTGTTTAGACGAACCACCAGTACCATCAGCCTGACTCCAAAAGGCTGTTCTACAATGAAGAAAACACCCATAACACTTCTCACTCTGTAATAACTCCACCAGGCTTCCTTTCAACCCAATTCAGGGACGTGTTTTGAAGCAAGCCAGAAATCCAGCTCCCAACTCTCTAAGAAGGGTTTTACCTGGATTCAGCAAGACATCTGTGAGTATTAAAAAGCATTTGGAAGATCTTCAAGTTCCTGCACACTTAGACAAATACATGACTGCCTTAGCTAATAGTTTGGGGGTATTTGTGCTTTACATCCAATTCCTCCCAGTTGTGCCTGTGTGCTCCCCACCCCACCTCTGCATTGAACTTTGCAATTCTAAGGCTGTGGGATGAATTGGTTCAACAAGTTGATCTGAGGGGAAACCACTCTTTGCGAGCTGGTTTCCACTGGAGCAAGTTGCTGAGTCCGTGTAGCCTCACAGGCTCTGTGCAAGGTGTGAGGAAAGTAGTAGGAGTGTGTGAGCAGGGATGGAGGGAAGAGCAGGGTGACTCGTTGAGAGCAGCCCACAGATCAGCCGTCATGTACAGCTACAGTGGGTAGAGCCTTACCGGTGTGGCTCTGTAGCAGCACAATCTGCCTCAGACTTGCTCAAGACCAATACTACCACGGAGCTCCTGAGTGCTCCTACCAGCTCCTTGCTCTGAGGAGCAGCTTTGAGGAGTCTATGAGCTCCTGAAGTGCCTGGCTGAGGGGTCACAAACATCAGTGTTCAAACAACAGAAGAGATGGGATGGTGGCAGGCTAGATTTAGACTGGTTTAAGTTGCTGCACAAGCGATGCTAATTCAGTCTTTCATTCTCACAGCTGCCTAAACTGGGGAAATCTGATTCCTGAGACACTTATAGAAGTTTCCAGGGAAGGTTTCTGCTGCTATCCCATTGCTGCTGGGGATAAAGAGAAGAGCAAGCATCCAAAGAGATTCACCATGTTATGACAACGCGGGAAGTCTGGGAGGGACACAGGAAGGGAAGACTGTTTTCTCCCCATTCTGGAAAAGATAAAGCTGCACCACAAAAGCAAAGGCAGGACAAGCAGGACCCCACCAGCCTCACAGTGACCCAGCTGATTTCCACTCACCATTGAAGGGGTTGATCTTCTTGGAGATCCGTAGAGAGATTGATTCCTTCAGGTCTTTCTTCTTCACACACTGAATGCCCAGATTCTGAAAACTGAAGCACATGCGGCAGCGTTTCAGCAACTAATGAAACCTTCACAGAGTTAATGATAGTTAATACAAGAGTTATTTCTAACATCAAACTATTCCACAATGAAGATTACCACTGTGCGGTCTCACAGTGTGAGAAGCGGGGAAAAAAGCTTATTGTGAGAAGGGTGTAAGATCTGGATGCTGGTTTTTCCAAAGTAAGAGCAGGAATAGCAGTGAAAAATACTAATTACAATTCTAAATATATATTCTTTATTAAATCTATACAAAAATACCTAAATATATATTCTTAAGACTGTATATTACTGTATCAAAAGTGATACCCTGCAGTAAACCTACAGAGATTACACAGTTAAATACGGGATCTCACGTAATTTATAGCGGCAATTACTTTTGTTATCAATAAATGCACTGATTTGCATTAGTTCAGGATTTTCTCTCTCCTGCTTTTGTACCAGGGAATGTAAATTTCAAACGCTGTTTTAAAGGGTTTTTTTTAAAACAAGTCAAAACAGGTCTCTAAACCTGGCATAGTTATGGAAAAGTTCTGAGGAGCTGCAGCTCTTCCTGATTTGCATATGAGCGCAGGTCACCCCGATGCAGGAGGTGGGGGGAGTCCCAGACGAGCTCTTGTTCCCACATGGAAAAACCATGACATCATCAAAGCTGAGTGGATGTAAAGCAGGAAGTAAGAAAAAATGAAAAGAAAGCTCTGTGTTGCATGGGGTTACAATGAGTGCAGAGGACGGGTCGCGCCAGCAGGCAGCCTTACCCAAGCACCAGCTATTTCCCTTCCTTTGAAACTCCACAAGAGCTCTTTGCTAAGCCTAAATGCCTAAAAAAACCACTTTAATGCACCTAAAGGCACTCCTTAATGCACCTAAAGATACTTCTTTATGCACCTAAACATACTGCTTGCCCCTGCCAACACTCTCAAGCATAGTTTTACACTTCTCTGCTCTGAACAAGACTATCCTAGCATGATGTTAAGTTTAATTCCCTTAAACTCCCTTCCCTGTGCCAAGTCCACTCTGTCCAGAGGCTCCCAAATCCTCTGCATTCAAGCTCCACTTCCAGAACCTTCATTTGCTAGTGGAATGTGTAAGCTTCCCTTTGAAACCCAACAGGATAACCCAGAGGAGAATAAAAAGCAGAAGCATCTCACACCTTACTATAGCACTTTGGTTTTATATTGTGGCTACTGACATGCAAGTTCTGTACTGTACCTTGAGGAACAATTCAATTTCTGTCTCCTCTTGTGGGCAGTAGTATTTTAGGGCTTGGTCACAGCATGTATTACTTTTTCTCATGCTTGGTCACAGCACGTATTACTTTTTCTCCCCCAGAATACCCATTGTATTCCATAGATTCAGTCTGAAGCACACATCAAGGCTATGAACAGGCTTAGTTCCATATCACATCCCCAGTCCTGGCCATCCACCATAAATTACAGATACCAAGCAAGCACATGCACAGAACTGACCTTGAACAAAAGCCCTACCCAGCTACACCAGACCTAAGAGCCATCACCCTGCATCATTTAACCACTGAACAAAGCCTCTCCTGAACAGCAACCGGACCCCATCATTCTCAGGTTATAAATGATTCCTCCACCACGTGCTGTCACAGCGAAAGTGTCTATTGAGCCATCAGTACAGAGGGCTTGATCAGAGAAGGAGCTGTCAAGAAGCTCAGCACGGCTGCGGGGTTTCACATAGCCCTGGCTGACAGGAAGCAAGCGAGATAACGAGAAGAGAGAGGGAGAAGTAGGAAGAGAGAAGAAACACGACAAACACTTAAGAGAAACCTATGATATCATCCATGCAGAGGGACAGCAACCTAGGAAGTAAGAATGTGAGTATACAGGCAGTCACACATGCTCCAACAGCCATGATTTTGGCTTGATGTTTTGGCCAGGGAGGGCTCTGATCGAGTTCGGGCAGCAGTACAAAGATCATCACGCCACAGGCAGAACAAAACACTTTGTTCAACCAGAACTACAGGGGAACTTTGAGCAAGCAGGAAGCAGAGTCATTTACTCAGAGCAGCCCCAAATCTGGGATTAATAATTCCTCTTCTGCACAAAAAAAAACCTCCAAAAACCAAGTAATAAATGGGAGTTTTGCTCCATTTGGGATGCTCAGCAAGAGTAAACAGCCAGAATCACTACCAAGAGACGACACCTCCTGCTCACTAGTATTGTATGAGGCTTTTCTCCAACGTGGACTCGAAGAGAAGAATGTGAAGACTGAGTCACCAGCCACAAAAAGGAAAATGACTTTAAACATCCAGATCCAATTACGGATCACACTGGTCTTTCATCTCAAAGCAACCAATGATTTGTTAAAAATGAGTGTACCGATGCTGGAAACATTTCAAAGAGAATGTTTCGAGCCTCCTCCCATCAATGTCAAGCTCAATGGAAGCTTACAGCTTCACATTATCAATAAGGGGAATGTAGACCACTTACTGTTTTGCAGGAAACCAAGAGGTTTATAACCTAAGGGTATTGAGAAGAATTCATGGATACAGCAAACAATCACAAGGGTCTTAAATGATGAGCCACAGCATTATGTCAAAGAACATGATCTGATGTACCACGAAATGAAATCAGTATTTGCAGGTAAGTCTTTGCAGAGCATCCCTGCGCTTTTTGGCATTGCAGCCTCTCTACAGGCTTGCCTCATCCTTCCACATTCAGCCTTGTGCAACAGAACGTCAAGAGGAAAAACAGTCAGTGTCTTCCTGTATCCGGTGAACGTAACGTAACCAGAAAAGGCGTTGAGCAATCAGGCTTTTCTGCTTCAGATTAGAAGGCCCAGAGCTGAGAGCAGGAAATGGGATGGGCCAGGACACAGACATCCTTTGACCTTGAGTGAGGAAGCTTGATTTGAGAGAAGAGAAAGGAGAAGCTGGTGAATGGACGGTCAGAGGAAGGCACAAGGTCCATTAACAGCTTGAGATACTCACAACTGCCTTTTAGACAAGGTGAAGGAAAGCTCTATTTGCGGGGAAGCCAATGAGGATGAGGTTGCAACAATCAAGGTGGAAGGTTTAAGTGCCTAAAGGGACAGCCCTGCCTTTCTAGAGAGGTGTAACAGTAAGGGAAAAGTGACAGGAATTAGATTTACTAATCCTTTTCTACCATTTGCCAAGCAGGATAACAGTGTGAACCGAGCTAAAAATAATAAAGTAATAAAACTGTTAGCATCTGTAACAGCAAGAGATAGTACAGTCAACGTGCTACACGTCACCTGAACACACGACAGCACATCCATGATCACTTGAGCCTGGGCTGTACGTTGAAGAAGCATCTCCACTGCTACAACTATTTATTTCACCATCAGGCAATCATCATCTTCAAACAGAGTGTGTCTTCAGTCCTTTAATAAGTGTTCTACTGACTAAACCCACATAAATGCGGAGTAATTTCACTAACATCAACAGAATCACATCAGCCTGAGAGCAGGGCGTAAGAGCTACTTACACACTGAAATATTTACCTCGTTTTCTTTCCAGCTCAGTTACCTCTCCCCCAGAGCAATAGCCTACTTCCAGGTTTACTGCATCACAAACTGGGAACCACAAACAGGTTGTCAAGTCTCAGTTCCCCTCTCCGGCAAAAATCACTCCGTGTTTGTTGCAGTTTCCTCTGCTTTCACTATATTACAAGAGACTTGGAATACTGATGGGAAATGCCATTCAAATACAATTGGATTTTAGATGTTCTTAATACCCCTCTGAATAGCCCTGAGAAACACATCTCAGACACAGCCTGAATCCTGCTTACTTCCTTCTCTTCCCTGCTTGCCCTCCAGAGCCCAGCCTGAGCACAATCTGTATTTTTACTCCAACAAAACCCCAAACCCAACCAGCAACAACAGTGAGAGCACTAACACGTTCCCAGATGTGTCACAACCATTATCTTCTAAATGACATGATAATCAGCCAGCACAAACTTTCTCCATCAGTTTCCAGAGTCCAAGTGTAATTCCCAGGGAAGATGCGAACTTCCCTAATCACCGTGAAGTACTAATTCTAATGCTGCCGTTACCTACTCTATTACTCATCATTTTCACATGTAGGAAAGAATCAGGCTCAAGAGTAGTAAGTGTTACTGAAGAAGAATACAAAAGCAAGTAAGTGGGAGAAAGGGAAAGGAGACAGGCATTGGCAGAATGGACAAAGGAAAGGGTGAGAGGAAAAGAATAGGACCAAAGAGGAGAGAAGAACTGAAAAGGAATTAAATACTTCAAAGAGGGGCTGCCCTCTCTCCAAGATGGGTAATAAACTTCAGCAGAAACAGCATTCCAATAGCTCTTCTACTCACTAGTCAGAGGTTTAAAACATAAGATTAGCACAGGTAATCAAACTCCCAAGTAACATCACTACTCACGACAGGACTCGCCGCTCTGGTCCAAACTCTGCTTCATAGTAGCCATCTCTGCAATCTTTCCCAACCAGGTCATGAGGATGTGGCTTGTAGGGTTCATTCTTCGTTACCAATGTAGTTCTTATTTTGACTTTTCCAAAGTAGTTCAGAATCTGCAAGAAAATTGAGACATTTTCTAGGTTACAGACATCAGGACTAGTAAAGTCCCGACATACAGGGACATATTTCATTATCATACCTAGCCTTGCGACAAAAGATACAAAATTCAACATAGGCAACCACATACAAATGCTTTTTAAAGGATGAGGCATGAAGCAACCTGGTTTAGTGGAAGGTGTCCTTGCCTGTGGCAGGGTGTTGAACTGGATGAGCTTTAAGAGCCCTTCCAACCCAAACCATTCTATGATTCTACGGCAGGTCTAGCTCCAAAGACCTTACAAAAACACTCCTAAGGCCTCAGGGATATGGATATTACCTGTGCATGGAACGCTAAAGAGCGAAAGAGGATCTTAACAGATATAGCATGACATCACACCCTATGAAGGTTCGGGTTTTAATCAGTTCTCAGTTGGATATTCAACCCTCTATTCAAGAAGGAGGGCACTGAATTCTCAAGCTCCTACTACAGGTTTCACAGCAGTCATCAACCTAATTCAATGCATGTTTCTCAGGTGCATAAAGGTCTTCCCTCACGCTGACAGCTACCAGTGAAGTCACCAAGGGTTGTGTGGGTAAGTGAAGAAACAAGAAAAGAAAAGCAGTTTGGCCTAACGTGTTTGAAGCTTAACAATTGAAAACACATGCAAGACTTGCTCAGGCACATGTTTGTGCAGAGGTGAGCTCTCCTCCTCCACTTCCCCTGCCCTGTAACTAAGTGTTCCTCTCCTCGTTGAGCCCTTTCTTCCCTCCTCCAAGGATCCATCATACATCCTTTCCAGCCAACGTCTCAAACCTTTCACTTGACCTGTGCTCTTCTAGCTTCCATCATGTTAGCTTCTTCAGTCTCCAGTTTGGCTCCTTTCTTGGCCTTCATACAAGCCATCATTACTCTTCATCTTTAAAATCAAACTTCCATCACTCCTTCACCTTCCTCAACTATTACATCATTTCTTTCTCATTTCACACCCAGTCCCTTGAATCTGAAGCCTGATCTGACCACTTCTGATTCCCCAGTTCCTCCCTGATGATGTTCATCATAACCACACCACGAAATTTAATCTCTTCCTGGCCTCTCTGTTCTCATCCTCATTGATGTTTCCATCTCTAGAGGGGACTCCCCTACCAACTTATCAGCACTAAAGCCTCCTACGGGCTTCAGGGAGGCAGGAATTCACCTAGAAATCACCTGCTATTGGTAACAATCAGCTTTGTCATCAACAGTCACCTCTGCCAGGACTGCATGGCCACCTACCCCTGTCCCATCTTCCCTTTGGGATCAGGCTGACCTTCATGTGCAGCCCAGTCCAGGCTAAGAGGAATTAAGGGCTTATCTTGCCCATTCAACTTGTGCTCTGACACAGCCTTAGGCTGAGAGTCTTTGAAAGCATCTACTCTTGCCAGGAGACTGTGCAGTTCAAGTGGTAGAGTGCTGAAAAAAAGAGAGTCTGGCAAGGTCTCCATTTCCTGCATTCCATAACCAAATCTGGCACTGTGGTAGTCAAGGGGAGGACCTTCTTGTTTGCTTCCTTCCCTTCATAATTCTGGCTTCAGGCCTGGATCAGCTTCCATAGTTACTTTATGCAGCAGAAGCTCAACACAACTGCCAATATGATCTTTCCCAAACTCTCCCTCTTCTTAAATATCTTCCATGACTCAGCCTAAAACACCTCCTGTTCTTCAGATTTCACATCCTCTCTATCTGGGCTTTTTTTTTTTTGCTGTGATTCCAGAGACTCCATCTTTTGGCTCTACTTTTTATTCTACTTGCAGGCACTGCAAACAGATACACAGCTTCTATTCCTGGGCACTGTCACATACTTCCCAGACAGCAAGTTCTCTTCACTTCCCATTTATATTGGGGCTATCTCTTCTAATCTCGTCTCTGAAAGACTTTCTCCAAACTGAAAGAGATCAAGGAAACACCAACAACTTAAACTTCAAAGAGGTAACCAGAAATTCTTCTCCCTTACCCTACTTCTCCAGGGTCTCTGACACATTCCTTTGCCCCACATACAAAAGCTACCGCCAGAGTGCTTCTATTCCACCTTTACTGCCAGTACCTTGGTCCTTGCTTTGATTACAGCTGCTAGGGCTACTCTGACTCCCTTCATTCTGGATTTCCCAACCTCTCCATAATGCAATCACCCTACTCATCTTCACTGCGGACGCTCTGACCACATAATTCTCCTTCTTAGCTCATTTTAAAACTCTCTACCCCCTTCTAACTTCATATCCTTCACGGTAGTTTCTTCTGCAGAGCCTGATCACCGAAGCACTGGCTCCAAGTCACTTCTTTCTTTGCTCAACCTATACAAAGTGCCTCCTTTCATGTTGTGCCCAGCAGCTTTTCAAAGCCTTCTCAAATTTGGAACGCAAACTCCTTCAAAGCTCTCCCAAAATTCATACCCAAGTCACATAACTAAGAAACCCAAACGCGCAGACAGCAAAAGCTAATAATGAAGGGTTCCCAGACAGTGAGTAACTTCACCAAGTTACTTCACCAAGTGTTCCCTCTCTCCCAGCACTTTGTAAGCTACCTCTACACATTCTCCCCTTCGTGTAAATCTGAAACAAAAGCTTTTAATGGCTCTTTTTCCACCCTGTTGCAACTACAGCTGCATGCCAAGGAAATAGGAAGAGAACGTGAAATTGGAACTATTGACTGCACCGAGGCCAACACACAGCCACAGCACCGTGTTCGCATGGGCAATGGTAGCTCATAGATAAAAGCAGTATTTACCTGTATGGAAGGGAAGGTCTTGTTGTTTTCAGTACTGTGCTCTCCTGGAATGCTGCCTGCTGATCTCCCCTCACATTTGTATCTGAAACGCATGCCCCTTTGCCTGGGTTGCTCGAATATTTCAATGTAGGGCTCAGGGCCACCTGAAAATCAAAACACTTTCCATGTTAGTATACACTAGAGCTTAAAAGGCAGCAGAAGAGATAAGAATTACTGACATTACCATCTTTCCCCTTGGTCTACGTTCTCAGACAATCTACTCTTCTATTTAGGTACATGCACACACTGAAGGTGGGGAGCAAGGGGAGAGAACAGATTTAAACGAAGCCTCCAGGTATCCCTGCCTTGTAAGTAATTAGCAAATGATGCCCACTCTCCCATCTCGCCTAGAACTTAGCTTCTTTTAGCTATTAGAGAATATGTGTGCAGAAAAGCAATCTGTATTTTGAGGGAATAGTTGGTATTTTTAATTATAACACACTTTTAGGACTGGCTGTCCTCTCAAAGCACAGGGAGTCTCAAAGCCAAGTACTATGTTCTCTTAAATCTCCTCTGAAAGTGAAGATGTTGAATTCATTGATTTAGTTCCTATTATAGTGAAGCAGAAACTATGCAAATTATGCAAAAAAAAAAACAACAACCCAAACCTGTGGGTTGAAAACCATCACTGTGAGCTCAGGAAATACCTCATTGCTGATACCGAATTCTTCATCCTGAGCTGCTCATCTCCCACAGGGCTAACTTCTAGTTCCAGTTACCTCCCTAGACAGCAAAACCTCAGTAAAAGCTATTTGGCAGTTGTCAAAGAGAGGTTTTCAGGAAACACAAGTGATAACCAAGAATAAGAAACAACTGACCTCTTAAACAAGGGGGGGTTAGAAAGACATTAACTTTGCCAGATGATGTTTTATTGCCAGACAGTAACAAGCTATTAAATATATCTCGCTGAGAACATCAAACAGGATAGTCAATCAAACAGTGACAACAGTGGGATGGCATGTGAAAAACAAACAACAGAGGGTAAGTAAATATTGTAGATGTTGAATCATTGTGGTGCTGCACGATCAGAAGAACGTAGCTTATGGAAATATCTACTGAGTTCTCTGTCATCTTCATATAATAGCATCCTACTCAAGCCAGGTTGAGCATCACAAACATGACAGGCAACATCCTGTGGTAAAGCACTGAGAAAAAGTGCTTGGACTTCAACATAATAAGCAAAATACTCATTAAATATATTGGAAGTGCTAAAAGGGTGAAAGATCCCCTACGTCCTTTTGCCCAAGGTCTATATGGGCTATGAGTCCATAGCATATGAGCTTTGGCAAAGAGGTGGATTCCAATCTTAACTCCACTTATTATGGAGGTTTATGGAGTTAAGCTTCTCTTTTGTTGCACCTCCAATGGTTTAGGTATACGTGCCAACACAAAGCCTGGGATTTGTTGATTGCAAAACACTTCCAGTGCTGCAGCAGTTCATACCCAAAGTAGGAAAGCACTATACCCTAAAAGATAAAGTAATTAGTAGAGAAGGGATGGGAAGAACTACATCTCCAGGACATCACCTGGGTCCAACTTGAATGCACACTTCAAGTGTAACATACCTGCCTACGGCTGTGGGAAGGCAGCATGTGAAAGCAGCTCTTATGCTGGAATTGCCTTAACACCACATGCCTTTTCAAAACCCGAATGCCTTTTAAAAAGGCACAATGCACTTCCAACTCCAGGCTGTGTTTGGTGGCAGACACTTGAGAACTGTGGTTTAGGGCTCTATATCCCTCACTAGCAATTCATCAAATTGTAGTACCTAAACTGATCACCTCCCATCACATTAAATACACCTTAGCCATTGCTCTAGGTTTACTTACAAGGATGGTCCCTTTCCTAGACATTTCCCAGACACTACCTAACCCTCCTTCAGATAAGCTTTGCATATTTCCTCTTCCTGGAAAATAAGCAAGTCCAACAACAGGGGAAAGGGGAACAGGCACTGATAACAAAAACTAAGCCTAGAAATGACATAAAGCTGGTTTCAACAAGAAAGCAGAAACTGGAGCTTCTCACAAAACCAAGCTCACCCACCAGTGTACGGCTATTTAACACTTAGATTTATGTCTGCTATTGTATTTATCAGCACAGCCCAGTGGCCCAAACAGAGGAGCTCTGCCAGCAGTGAGGGGTGACTGCTGTGTATCAACTCCCATTGCCACCAGGCAGACGAGGAGAGAGAAGAATCCCTCCTTCCCATCCCTACGTAACGCCGTACATCTCACACACACAGACACAAACCCATACACTAAATTAAAAATTTACTTTGGAAGTCCTAATGACAAAATTGCAGCAAAGTGCCTACTAATCATCCTACTCGGGAGATGCACACGCTTACATAGCTGCTAACCAGACGCACAGGACACCCACATACGTCACCTCTTTGTCAAAACCAGCCTCGCTGTTCGAAACTACTACAGAGCGCAACCACCTCGAGTCTTTAACTCTCTCTGCTTGAAACAATAATTTCCCTTCACGCTCTACTAATGCCTTATAGAGGGCTTTTTTTTCTCTCGCCTATTAAGTTAAAACCCTGGGCTCAGTGATCTTTATGGGGCTGTGGTTGAAACAAATGGCACTGAAAGCAAACCCACTGCTTAACAGCAGGTGTGCTTGTGGGAAAGTAAAGCTCAGTGACGTGGTAGCCTCCAGAGATTAAACATTAAACTTGGGGTTACCTTGGCTCTCTCACTCTACTTAAGAATCACGCTATCATCTCTATTGAGACTATCGGTGTCATCGTGTTTTGTGTGGAGAGGAAACACACACGCACACAAAAGGGTTTGTGTGAACTGAAGGTACTATCAGCGCTCTGCAGGCAAGTGGAGGGCTGCTCAGGGTTCCTTATTTCTGTAAACCAGCAGCGCGCCTGTGAAGTGGCATGGCTTAACTATTTCACAATCTCTCCTCACACACAGAGCTCTCTCGGCTCCCACACGGTTGCCAAAGACCTGTCCTCTTCAGGTCGTGCTGTGTTTGTCAAGCAAAGATGAGCGATGGCAAAGAACAAACTCTCTTCTGCTGTCTCTAGGAGAGAACTTCGCAGCCACGCATAGCACCCACCTGCCCACGACATCCGAAACAGAAGAAAAGCAGAAATCCAGCTAATCCTTCAGCTAAGTGCTTAAGAGCTCAATTTGCATTTTTAATTAATGATAATTGCCTACACACACGCTAGCAACAGACACACTGCTACATATTACAACCTGCCTCTTGTTCTGTTTGTTATAAAACTGTTTATTCCCTCTGTGCCCTGAGTGCTAAACACTACACTGCATAAAATACAACTACACTAGATAATTTAAGAGTATATAGGAGACCTATTGTTGCAATTACATACACAAGGAGGATGAGTAAAAGCAGGAACAGCTCCAAGAGTTCACCGGCTTATGCTCATGGAAGAGCCAAAGGCTGTTTTCTTCTCATCTGTTTTGAGCAACACAAAAAGGAACAAAAGGACAATCCCAAAGCCTCCAAGGAACACTCCATCAGACCCCTCCATACTGAGAAACCCAGGCTGGGTTAATGTTTAACACCGCCTGTGCATGAGGGAGGAGGTGCCAAGCAAAGCCCCAGCGGGATCAAGGGTTGGGATGCTCGGTTTGATTCCTTCGCTCAAAGGAAACAGGCTCTGGAGTAACTACATAGTGTGTAGTCTTCTCACACATCCAGGTGTTCCTGTGAGCAGACTCCAGCAACATCGGTGTGTGTGAAAGCAAAGGAGCTGTGGCTCTTTGTGGAAGATGTGAAAGTATCACCCGAAACCCTACAAGCCAACACACAGATGGGAGCAGCACTGCCTTTCAGCTCTGCTGTCGCTGCTGTATGGGTCACCGGTGACTCTGCCTCCTCCCCACAGCAACAGCCCTGTCTGAACAGCAAGATCAGACAACCTACGTGCTCATAACCCTCTGCAGCACCCCAGGCTAAAAAGAGAGGACAGGGCACGATTTGTTACAGCACATTCCAGCTCCATCTAAAGTAACCGGAAGCGTAAACATATTTGTTTTAGAAAGCACTGATCTACCCAGAATCTGCAGTTTCTGTTGCTCCAACAGAGACAAACTGCTCCTGAACTTCCTCTTTACCAGCGTGACATTACAGAACAGCAACCAAAAGAGAGGCGAAAAAAAAGCCAACTACAAAAGCTGCCTCGTACCAGGAAGTTATGAACTTCCCCTACTGAAAAATTCCTTATCTGGTTCCTAATTACACCGAAAATACATTAAGCCATGAAGAAGAAAAAAGAAGTGTGATCACTCAGTTTTGCCACTACGAAATACAGCGTAACGTTCAAAACAAGCCTCCATACAAACCCAGTGTTGTCTCTCCCTGTTTGTAGTTCACACACCTATGTATTTAGCCAGAGTGAAAGTTCATACTTTGCTAAGCAGTAACAGAGCACACACCACTCAGTTCTGAGGCTGGAAAGCATCATTCCCTAGAAATACTACTCTAATTAATGCTGTCAAGTCTTTAAGTTTTGGGGCTGTTTTTAAACTCCAAGAAAAATACTAGAGACACCTGAAAGGATGATAAATTCGGTTTAATTTAGCCTAAAGAAACTTAATTGTGCTTTTGGTGGCAAGTACTCAGTGTATGATCCCTTATCTACGTTGCTTTGCATTTATGTCATCTCCGTTTCTGGTTCATTTGCATTCTCATAGGCAAGTTCCTATGTGAATGGGATCCTGCTGAGCATCACAGTCTTTAGACTACTGCAAGTCCCTTAGCACAGATAAGAGCCCTATGCGCTTATTTAACACCTAAACACTTTAACAGCACCGCTTTAAAACTTAAAGGATCCATTCTGAAGCACAACAGCCTCATCAGATCTTGTCGCAACAACCCCGGGATGTTTCTTCATTAACTTTTTCCATCAGCCCACTTAGCAAGCTCCACGGAGGTGGATTTAAAATCAAAAGCAGATGCTGGGGTGATGGGTAAGAGCACTGTCACGCTCTTTCGCACTGTTACTCACCTACCTCCGACTGCCTACGGGCTTAAGTCAATGGTGGAAGAGCAGAAGCCAACCAGCCCTCGCAGCATAGAAATAAGAAACAGCCGCCACTCGGCCTTTCCTCTCGAGAAGCGATCGTTTCTTTACCAACGCAGTGGCAATAACGAAAGGAAGGGCGGAGGGGCCCGGCTTTCCGCATCGCGATGGGCGCAGCCCCAGGGGCACCGGGAGGTGCGGGGCACGGGGAAAAACAGATCCGCTCCCACCAGTACCCCCATTAACACCAGTACCCCCCCACACCCACACCCCCCCCAACCCAGCACCACGGCCCCCCTGGGTCCCGTCCCGCCGCTCACCCGCCATGCTGACAGCCCCGGCCCCGCACGGCTCGGTGGGTCGCTCGCTCGCTCGGTCGGTGGATGATGGATGGATCGATGGGACGGACGGTCGGGTCGGTCGGTCGGACGGGCGCACAGACAGAGCCGATCCCTCCGAGGGCTGCGCCCTTTTCAGGGGGAAATTCCCGTTGGGCGGGCGGACGTGCGCTGCCATGAACCGCCCCCCGCCCGCCTCCGCCGCGCCCAGCCCGGCAGCGCCGCTGGGGACGGATCGGATCGGAGCGGGGGCCGAGCCCCATCGCCCCTCCCGGGAGGAGGCGAAGCGGAGGCAGGGCGGCACCGCCACCCCGCCGCGGAGCGGTTCATCCGCAGGACCCTGCCTTGCGCTCAAGATGGGCAGGGGGAAAAGTTGCGATTCCATTGGGTATCCGGTAAATTCAGAGCGCAGCAGAGCTGACTGGAGCATACAGTCAGCTGGGTTGGAAAAGACCTTGAAGTTCAGCAAGTCCAACCGTTCCCCAGCACTGCCAAGGCCACCACTAACCCACGGCACTGAGGGTCTTGTCTCCGCGGTGTGTGAACACTTGCAGGGACGGTGACTGCAGCCCTGCCCTGGGCAGCCTGTTCCAATGCCTGAGCACCCTCTGGGGAAGGAATTGTTCCTCAGCTCCATCTAAACCTGCCCTGGTGCAGCTTGAGGCCGTTTCCTCTTGTCCTGTCACTTGCCCCTTGGAAGAGGAGACGGATCCCCAACTCACTACAACCTCCTTTCAGGTAGCTGTAGAGAACATGATTCTTCCAAGCAGCTACACGAGCTCATACTCCTCACCCTCCTGCTCAGCACGCTTTCTCAGCACCTAGAAGCCTTTGCAGCATCCCTGCACAGACTGGTTTGGGTTGGAAGGGACCTTTGAGCTCATCCAGTTCCAGCCCCGTGCCATGGGCAGGGACACCTTCCACTAGAGCAGCCTGCTCCAAGCCCCTGTGTCCAACCTGGCCTTGAACATTGCCAGGGATGGGGCAGCCACAGCTTCTCTGGGCACCCTGTGCCAGCACCTCAGTGCCCTCAGAGGGAAGAACTTCTGCCTAATGTCTGATCTAAATCTCCTCTCTTTCAGTTTAAAACCATTCCCCCTAGTTCTGTCACTGCACACCCTTGTAAAAAAACCCTCTCCAGGTATCTTCCTCAGTCTCTTTAGGTACTGAGGTTACATCACCCGTAACACCCCTCTTTCCCTCTCCATAAGCCCCTAGAGATCACACTCTCCTGTTACCCCTGTTCTTCTCAGTTGCGCAGGGCCTGGTGGTCACACATAGCCAGCAATAACAAAACTATTACTGCAGACAGGGAACAAAGAACTCATCAGCTACAAGCTGATCAAGTCACAACACTCAACTTAAGATCTACCTAACCTTGTGTTAAACCATGACACCTTGAGAGCACTCTGCATCCAAAACACAGCTCACAGCTTGGACCTGACGCAGCAAAATCAAGTGAAGGAGATGCAACCGGTGGGATCCACCCCACAGCCCCAAACTGGGATCAGTTGGAGGGGTCAGTGACAAGCAGATGTAGGGGGATTTAAATACCTGTAAAGAGAGGAACACAAAGGAAAGGCAAGCCCACACCTTGCTGTGGTTACAAGACTGCATTTGGTTAGCAATAAGACTTAATTGTATTTTTATCCTTAAATCTTTACTCTGGGAATGCAATACAGTGTCCTGTGTGAAAATATGGTTAAATAAATTGGTATCCTTGAAAAAGGAACATCAATAAAAGCCTCAAAGAGCACTCCAGCAAGGTACGTAACAGGCAGGGCATTTTTACTTTTCTTTTTCCTACTATCCTAGCAAAGATTATTGGGATGGACAGGAACGAACCACAGTAGAAAACACTGTTCTATAACGCCTTAGTTAAGCAGAAGATACTGCCCAATGCTTGTTAACCTTCCGGCTCCATGCTCCATCTCAACAGGGCTTTATTTTGACCAGCTACCATCAGATTTCCTATAAACAGAAATTATCTTTCTTCATTCCACAAGCAAAACTTCCCTTATTTAAGATTCAGCTGGTCCTACACGAGGGTGATTATGCCCCTCTCAAATTTATACCTGAAATCAGGATAGAAGGATCCTGGGGGGCACACAGGATAATCAGGATGTCTGTGACTAGCTCTAGAAGATTAAAGGGAAGAATGTTATTCTATTTGGATATTATGCTGAAATAATTCCATGGTTGTGGGTTAGTTTCTTGCCAGAAGAACACGATTTCTCATTTTCTTTCCCACAAAAGAAACTCCTAAGAAAGGCACAAACCAACAGTGCCCTAAAACTATGAGGAATTAGGACTAGATCTTTATGTCCTCAGGGATTTCTTGCATTCCCTAGGACTGATGATGTAGAACAAAGCAGGGAAGCGGTTCTCATACTCTAAATCAAACTTAGTTTCTCTATACACACACACACACACATACAACCCCAAAGCAGGCACGGACAGAAGACCTCACACAAACGTGCCTGCATCCAAACACACTGAAGCTCATGAATGTTAAAGGATTAGAAGCTACCTCAAGTTTCTCAGTCATCACCTGGCAGTTTTGGACAGCCTCCATTCACAAGCTGGAACAGCTTGGGAAATGCTTCCAGTTTGAGGGCATCCCTCCAGGTCACGTGGGTGATCTGGATAGGATTGTAAAAGGGAAAAGGATGCTATTCCTTTCAGCTACCTGAAGCTGGAAAAGCCCCGGGAGGTTATTACCCAGGAGCTGCAGTGTGGATGTGAGTTTTGGTTTTGGATGTAAAGCAAATTCTCTGTATAGGCATATGAAGCAACTAAACACTTTTCCTTTCACATTTTCAGGCTGGTTTGCAGCATCTCAGGTAGTAAACTATTGCATTTCAGGAAATACGGATTTAGGTACTTCTCTAAATACAGTTTATATCCTGGTTTCCCATCTACTTGTCAAGCCCATGACGCTATTAAAGAGACACAGACCAAGGCACCTGGGAAACTGTGCTTCAAAACAGCAGTATCTACTCATTTCTTCTTGAAGGGCATACAGTCTAAGCTGATGTGAAATCAAGGGCAACATTCCAGGCAATACAAGTACCATGTTATGACTAAAACATCAATAAACATTCCCTATTTTTCCCCAGTTCTTTTGAACTTTAACTGTGAGGGCTTGCAGGAACAGGCTACTCAGAGATAATCCTTGAGACTGCATGTTAGAAACCAAGGCATTATCTCACATATGCACCAGGGTCTGTGGTACACATTGATTCTTGATATTACATTTAAGAATGTGATGGGTGGGCTGCACTTCCCAAAAACTTTAATTCTATCCCTACATGAAAACATGAAAACAACCTACAATGAAATTAGTGGAAAACCAATTGTATGAAGTGTTTCACTGTATGAGACCTATAAGATCCCATCATCTGAATACATAGAGACTAGATCTGGCTCAGGAAGTCCTTGGACAGAGTTACTGGAGGAAGGACTGTGAGTGCAGATATTTTCCTGACCATTTTTCTCTCTGCAGCAGTAGCCATAAGCTGATTCCCAGAGAAAAGCACAATGATGTTTCAGGGACAAAATGCTCTTTTAGTCTAAGCCCAGTGCGGCTCTTTCATAATAGGTTCATGTTCCTAAACTACAGCAAAGTTCCACAGTAACAGAGAAGCCTTCCCAAGTCAAAAGCAAAAACCCAAGCAAATTAAAGAGGCCTTACTCAACTTTATGCAAGCATACAGATAGATCCTGTAAAAACCCCCTCATACAGATAAAAAACCCCTATACAGATAGATTCCTGTGACTACCCCATATGCGACTTCTTTCTGCTGTGATCCAAATGTATGGCACAGGGATTATCCCCCAAGAGCGATGTCAGCTGGAGAACTGCAGTATAGCAATGGGAGTCACAGAAACCTGGTCAGCAACAGGCATGAAGGGTAAAAACATGTCATAACTTTAGGCATATGCAGATCTTTGCAAAAAAGCAGGAAGGAATTCCCCTCCCATGGCATTGCATAAGAAAAGCCAGGTGTATCCCTATTATTTTTGTCAGCTGACTTCGACTACAGCCAGTTTGATCCAGTGCTTCACTTCCTGCCTTCCAGTTAAAGTGAGGGCTTTAAGATCCCATTTTTCTCCATTATCAAGTCCAAAGACAAGTCCTCCCTCCTTCCACTAGAACAGTTAACCCCTGGTTTGCTATAAGGAATTAAGCTTCCTGCTGTAGTAGGGAATGTCATGGGGCCAGAAAGAGGAGAAAAGGGAGAGAATAAACACACACCCCCCCAACCAAAACTTCCTACAGCAAAGGACTGTTTGACACGTTATTTGTTAAGCCCAGGATGATGGCTTTTTCAGGGTGCTCAGCACAGGCGTTGCCCAATGAAGTGTGCTAAAGCCGGCTGAGATACAAAAGCAGCACAGGCAAACTGTTAAGCCTTTATTTCCTGTTCCCAGCTATCTGTCTTAGATCAAAGCAAAGCCGCTTGTCACTTAAGCAGGCACTAAGGTACTTTTAGAATATGGCTCTCCTCATACTGGGAATAAAAGTAATAAAATCATTCACTTCTCCCCTTATGGACTAAAGTCCTGTTTCCTTGTGCACTGCATCTCAAGCCTTGCATACTCCTCTGATTAGCAATTTGCAATCCTCTATGCCTTAAGACACTTCTCTATGCCTTAAGAAACCTCTTGTTGTTTGAAGTACGCTCTTTGTAATCTCAAAGGCCTCTTACTTAAACATAAACACTGTCAGACCTTTTGATGGTTAAGGTTTTTGTGCTTATTGGTCCTAAGGAAGGTTCTAATGCAGAAGCCATTCCAGGAAAAATTATGGCTTCCAGATTAATGATAAACTCAAAGGTTGTTCAAGCCAGTCTGCTGGAAGCGTTCCTGTCTCATGCTTGGAGTTTGTTTGACATAGAACAATGCTACTGTGCCTCCTCTCAAAACAGGGTGGAGAGAAAGGAAATGCTAACAGAGAAAGGTTGGTCTTGTGGATAAGGCACAAGGCTATGATTCAAGAGGCTGGAATTTGGCTCTTGGCAAGTCAGCCTTTCTACTCTTAGGCAAGTCACTTAATTCGCTAAGCCTCAATTTCCCCAACAGAAATCAGGCAAGATACTTCCTTGCTCCCACACTTCTATGTTACTCAATCATGATGCAACTTCTTCAGGGGATGAACTGCTCATTATAGGAAATGGCTCATTGTAGGAAAGTGCCGAGCACAATAAAAATGACAGTTCCATAAGCACTTCACTGTGGCACTGTCAGGAAGAGGCAGTCTCCCTTCTTTCTCTCCTTACCTCCAAGCAACTCACCTATGCTGCTGCAAGCGCTCCTTTGGCGACACGGGAGCTTGCTTAAAAGTAACCTGGAGGAAACAAAAAGATTGGCTTTCTGCTGGTTCAGCTTTTACTGAGCCAGTTGTACGTACAAGCACAGAAATGACTGTGCCAGCAGCAAGCAATGGGGTGGCACCAAGGCCAGAACAAGTTACTCAAAGGCGGCTTTGGGCAGAGGTGCCTGTTTCCTGACGTGCAATCTGTAGCACAACTGTGTTTTTACTTTGAGGAATTGATCAAGTCTCTATGAAGTTTCCAATTCACAGTGCATCATCCTTCCATCTTTCCTTCCCAGAGGTAGTTTTCAGAACCATTCTCAGGCACCTTCTCCTTCCTCTCTCTCAGGTGTTTCCTAATCCTTTCTTTGCATTCCAGTGCTATGAACACACACCAGAGTTTGGGAGCTGCATTGGTTTGAACATAGAAAAATCTTTCACGTTTATTGGCAAGCAAAGTAAAGAATATGAGGAGTGTTTTCTTTTTCCACTGTGCCACGTGAAAGCCTTGTATGACAGTGAAGCTGATCTAATGGACAAACTACAAACTTCTTCCTTACGCCACAACTAAGATCAATCTGATGCAGTAGCGCTGCAGGGAGAGGACTTTGGGAAGAGATGAGCTCAGGCTGAGCATAAGGAGCTAAATCAACCAAAACCAATCTTTTTCTACCCAAAATCTATTTTTCAAATAGATCAGCTCTACAAGCCAGATCACTCCTGGTGGTACAAAGGGAAGCAATAGAATTCCTCTAGCTACAGCAACAAAAAACAGGGAGGCAGAAGGAAGGATGGGAATCATCCCTTTGCTGAGTTATTAGCGTACCTTAAGAGTACTATTAGTGTACCTATGTTGTAACATGAAAACTACATACTGAAGAAAAGATAGGCAACATATGTTCCCATTAATTCTTCTGCTCCCCAAAACCCCAGCACATACCAGCCAGCCATTATGCACTGGCCTCACCAACAGAGGATAAGAATTGCTCATCCAGGTTTTTATTGCAAGACTTCCCTTTTTCCTCAGAGCTCACCCAGCATTTAGGCTACTTAACATCACCTTGAGCTTCAAGAGTCTCAGAAGACCATTATCTGTAGCCAATACTAAAGAGATAAAAAGGCACATTGTTTCAGTACAGCCCCACCAGATATATCTCCTTTTAATTTGAAGCCTTACACCTTATTTTTAACTCTCCAGCCCGATGGCTCATAGTTCTGACTTGTACAGTTAAAGGATTACACCCAGGAATAGCCGAAAGTGACACCACTCTTCAGGCTGTACATAAATACGTAGCACCTTCATTGCATGAAGTCCTCCTACGTATGCAAAGCATATCTGCAGTTTGTGAATTAGGCAGCTACTCATCTTATCTGGACAGGCATTAGCCCTTTCTACAAAGTGCCTGGGGCTGTGTGTCACAGTGCTACCTCACTGAGCAGTCTTCCTGTTGATACCCGATCAACACCGCTGCTTCACCCCACCTGAACAGTTAACTCTCCAGCTGTGTCTGTTCGGACTGTGTGTGCACATATACACCCAATTTACTAGTATGCTGCAATAATATAGATTTACTAAAAAGGGCAACGTCCTAGTAAGGGTATAATTATTAGTCTGAGCTTTCTTAACGACAAGGTTGGGCGCCCTTGCTTTCTCACGCCAAGCAGCGATGGCTTTTGTTATTTCACAGTCTTGTTCATTTGGCAGTTGCGGCATGACTTGCAATTTGGCTTTTAGGACTCTGGGGAAAGTTCAACGTCCTTTTTGTAATCAATGTAGTGGTTAACCTCTCATAAACGATACACTTGATAAATACTCGTTCATCTGCATTCCACTTGTGAAGCACAGTACTGCTAAAAACAGACGATGTCCAAACAACATCCTCCATGTTTTCAGTGTGGAACACTGTGCCTTAGGTATAGTAAATATGTCAACCACCATGAGACTCAGAACATGTCCAGATGCCTGGAAGAAGCACTTTCCTCTACGTGAGTAAAGAATATACATGTCAATCTTCTTTCATTTTTGATTAAAAGGAACAATGCGCCAGGAAGAATAATAATCTATTGCACAATACACATTGAAAGGATTGAACAGGGTTTTTGCCCTGTGGAGTGGAAAAAACAAATCTAGACACATAGCCTGCTGAATGGAAACAAAGCAGGCATGAAGGGAAAACTGCCACCACAAGCTGCTTCTGGCAAGTCAATGCAGGAACCAGAGGAAGGAGAAGGCCTAACCCAAGGAAAAGATGACAGAAATGAGCTCCTGGCAAGAAGGATTAATTAGAACAAGGTCTAGAGTTGGCTAGAAGGGCAATGTCATGTATAAAGCTGAATATAAAGAAAAGGTAACTGCTTAATGGAAAGGTTCCTTAACATGCAGATCTAGAAGAGATAAATTATATAGAGTAAAGCCACCGATGTTGTAGTTTCATTTCTGATCAGTCTCCAGTGAGATTTTGGGGTGCAAGCCAGGTAGGTACTGTTGAAAATCAACCTCTTGAATGTTCTGTTTCACAGAGGCTGAGACAGGTAGCCACGAGTTAAATTTTTCCATTGCACTAGCCCCATGTAGAAGATAAGCATCACACCCAATATCAAAAGGGTAAGAAGAAAGAGGGAGGGGATTTGGACTAAAGTGCCTGATTACTGTTCTAGTGACCTTACTCCTGGCAGTCACATCAGCTTGTCCTTTAAGGGCCGTGATGCCACTCCCTCAGTGACCATGAGTAATACAGTTGGTTTTGCGGTGTCTTACTAAAATGCCCCCTCGTGGTCACAATAATGATTTCCTGAAAGGGCATGCAAACTACTGCCTTCCCAGTAAATCTCTCTACATCTGCTTCTAGCAGCTTGTCATACTTGTGTGGTTTCATGCTCCTCCCAGCACAAGAGGGTAAAGGATTTTCATGCATGAAGCTTTAGTCTCTGTAGCGTCTTGAGCTCTCATCACCAAGAAATCTTGCCAAAGACAGCTGGCTGTGCCTTTTCCTGCAGTTTCCATTCTGTATGATCTGCATAACAGGAAATAAACTGAAAGCAAAGTTCCCATGTGAATTTGCAAAGTATTTCTGTGAATCTACATAATCATTTGCTTAAAAGAAAAAAAAAAGTAGACAAAATAGCCAAATCTATACATAGGTCTGTTACTTTTTAAAACACAACAATTTCAGGTTTTGTTACCACCTTCTCTTAGCCTATATAAGCAAAAAACCAGTGAGTAAACCTCAGATGTAATACCAATATAAAGCTTGTGAGATACCAGAGATTCATAGCTTAATAAGTGAGCTACAACATCTGCATGGATGCTGCACGGTCCAGTAACAAGTGAAGTCAAGTCCAACTTCACAAGAAGCGAAGGCCAGTAAGGAGTGAATTCTGCAGCAGGCTGGTTCCAGGAGACTCGAACATGGTAATGGCAGAGAGACTTACACCTGCATTAATTTATATTCATTATGGTCCACACCCACTGATAAACAGTTTGAAGAGAGTCTGTTGCAACTCAGACGTGGGTACTGAGACCTGATTCACTTCCAGACACTTTTACTGCTGCAAGTCTTTCAAATGTATCAGGCCAAGTGAGACTGGAGGTCCTAGGAGAAAGGTCTTTCTGCAAGAAAAGCCTGAACTACAGCCTCCTTTACAGTGATCAGCTTGCTGACAGATGCCATCTTGAACATTGCTGGTACTACCCTGTTACACCATCTTCACCTGTTTGCTTACTCTATTTTTCAACTCCTAGGGCTCTGGGTAGTGTTGGGGGATTTATCATCCTGCCTCCAAAGTACAACAGGGTGGTCTAAGATTACAGCTCCTTGGCCGTGTGGCAGCCCCATGGTCAACCTAATCTCTTATTTGTTTAGGCATGTGGTAACATTTACATACTGTTATACAACCCCTCTGCTTCACAGCAAGTATGTATTCTGTTTATCATATAATTTAGCAACCAGCTCTACAGGCTAGGAGATGTTTGTTTGTTTCACAGTGATCTATCCAGTGGTACACTGACTTCTTTTCGGGGGTCCCTTTGCTCTGTTATACTTCTGCTACTAGTTCTCTTCCTCCAACAGTGGGCAATGTCAATGCTCTCAGGGTGCAAAAAGCCCCATAAGAAGTAAACCTGGACTAATCACAGTGTTTCTTCAAAAAATCCACATCATTCACTTGCTGGATCTTTTGGAACTGGAATTTATATTCCTTTGACATATCTTAATTACACACGGTTATTGTTTCTGCTTCCTGAATATGCATCTTTAGGCTTCGATGTCAACACAAATACTGGTAGAGGGATGCAATTATAGCACTTTTGCTTCTGCTAATATTCCCATGACCTACGTCACACAAAACCTCTGTGGCAGGTGACCCAGTTACTACATTGGTCAGTTCAGGACTTCACACTTGCAACAGGGTTAAAACCTCATTTGCAAGAGAGCCCTGTAACTGGTCAAGTGGAAGCCATGTGACCTGGCGTGGCTTTAATTGTAATGTAGACAAGGCTTCTCATTTACATAGGCCAGGACTAACACATACCTCTGCTGTAATGCCAGAGGACACCAGAAACGTAGGAAGTTGAGAAAGGAAAGAAGGCTGCTTGGATAATTTACTCAGACAATTACTGTCTCATCATTACTGTTCCTGCTTGGAAGAATGTTTACTACTGCCCCTAGAAAAAGAATGGCAAGAGAAAATTAAATATACAGCTGAATGGAACCACAGAATAAATTACATTTAGCATAGCAATTAGAGTTTCTTCCAGACTATATGTATTATGAACAACCTATATTTGTGTGGTCAACAACCCTGCCTCATAAACATCTCTGTAATTAATTTGAAATAACAAAAACCAGGGGAAAATAAAAGCAGTGTTATTTTTGCTCCCTTTAACAGAGTGTTTGGCTCCTGTGCTATATACAGAGAGTTGATTCACTACAACTGATGAAGGCTCCAGCTAGAAAAGAAGAGGATACTGGAGATGAAGGTGATGGCAAGAACCTCCTAAAGTGATAAAAACCAAATTGGTTATGGTTTACAAAAACAATGAACAGCAAAGTAGCCACAGCTTAACAGTCGAAAGGTTGGGTTTATTTTCCCCCTTCCCCTTAACAGCAACCATAGCCACTCTATTCTTGAGCAGTCCTGTCCAGTTCTCCTTCTTTTGCAATATCCTCCCCTCCATAAGCCTCTAACCCACAATTCTTCCAACTTGTGCAAATGACACTGGCTGTCTTCCAACCCAGAGCTTCCTTATGCAGTGCTTTAGGAGCAGATGTTTGGAATCTTCATAAATTCCTGTTCTGGCTGAGTAAGACGGAGGGGGGCCAGAATTCTCTGCTGCTCCTACAAGAGTGTCTGCATCTCTGCTCACAACATGCTCAAACAGAGACTGATCAGTTATTCCCTATGTCCCTTTATCTTGAAAGATGCACACTCCTAAAGCAGGGCAGAAAAGCTATGTCAGCTTCCCTCAGCTGAGTGCTTCTTCAACTTTTATTTAAGGGGCTTTAAGCAACTCATTAAGCAATAGCACATTCTTTGGCTATGAAAACACACTTATTGTGCTTGTTCACTGCTTTGGTTACAGGAATAAGTTTACTAATTTGGGGCCATGCAGTTAATACATTCATAGCAATACAGTACAGCTAAGAGTCAAGAACCCCATCACGTACCTCTTACAGGCAAAGCTTCCATTTGGGTTGACTGGAATTTCGGCTGAGTGATAAAAATACACAGCCCTGCAAACACAACATTCATTTAAGTATTGTAAGGGAGATGGCTACCAGCAACTTGCTGTAAACTCTGTCATTCATTCAGAAAGACAGACTATACCAGTTCACATACAGCACATTCATTATTCAACAGACTCTACTCGGTAGCTACAACCCTTTCCTAAACAAAAGGGTTTGTCTTCTACTAAAGCCAAGAGCAGTTTTTAACAGTGGATCTAAAGGAGGATAACTTCAGGCCTAAAATGAATGATAACAGAGCCTGATAATATGACCGTGAATTGGAGGCAAACCCAAGGCAACACTGAGGTCTTACGCTGCTCAGCCTTGCAGTATCTAACACACATCTTAAGGATTCGTGTTTAACCAAGCAACACAGCCTCTCCAGTTCATGCAGTTCAACATTACTTTGTGATACTTAAGGCCTTTGTGGCTTTAACACATGACCTTAAGCATGGAGCCTCCTATGCTGAAATGGTATCATGGAATATCCAATTTTTCACAACAGCTGACATCATACTTTTGCAAAGATTTACTCAATCACTTCAGAGACACATTCATCTTCCACATAGGAATTCTGGTGAGATGCTGCAGCAACTCTTCAGCAGCAGAAAAAGGTCTTACCAAGAATCTTAATGAAGACTATCTAAAAAGTCACCTATAATTCAGACAGAACTCTGGTATTTTTGCCTTTTTCCTTTTATTTAGGACGTACTTTCAGCATCTATTAATTTCCTGTGGATACCAGTAGTAAATCCTTAGAAAGCATGTCACTATGTTGTTGGGTTTCCTGTTTGTTTTTACAATCCTACTAGAAGGAATTATTGGGCTTCCCCCCTTGACCAACCTCACCCACCCCCCTCAACTGTAAGACATCAGAACTTACCCAAGTGTTAACTTGGATCTGACACTCCTATGGTTTGTATTCTCAGCCAGACTTTAGTGGAGAACCAAAACCAAGCAAGAAACAGACTTGTGATTATTTTTGTCTTCTTAAGAAGGTAATCAAGATCTGAAAGGAAAAGCTGTTTAATTTGCAAGCTTAGGAAAAAATACCCCACACAGTGGGCTATCATATATGTAGTGGCTTAAAAATCAGCAGTTGTTTTCACTTATAGTCTCTAAAGACAATTACAACAGTCCTTAGCCAGATGCAGTGAGTTATGCACTGTGAATCCCCACTGCAAGCACAGGCAATGTGACTCTCAAGAAAAAGGGACAAGCACCACAATCTCACACATTCAGGGAATTTGGCTTCAGTTTCTGGTACCAGCCACAAAATTTCTGTCTGGCCCTTTGCTAATTGTTAATTTCTATGCATTAGATTCCTCATCTGCTAAAGCAGGTATTTTAAAAACCTTCTCAGGAATGTTGTAAAGCATTATTAAGTGTTGAAAGAGAATTTGACAGTGTCAGGGAAAGCCTTGGATAAAGGTGCACAATGGTAGCAAAACTTAATACAAATAAGGAACTTATGGTGGGCACCTTGGCTTGTCCTCTGTCCAGTTATTTCAGGTAAGAAGTCATCTTAAACACTGGTATTAGTGGCATCCAATACTTAAGAAATTTAAGATCATGCCATCTTTCTCACTAAAAGCTCTCCCTAATAAGTAGCTGAAAGACAAAACAGTCTGAGCTCAACGAACAGTGACTGACAAGAGACCATTCAAGCAGGACCTGATTAAATAAATCACTTTTGCTTATCAGTCAGTAAGAAACTGTGGTTAGTTTCTCTACTGAAGGCTTTTCTAAGCAGCTGCTTTGCTTCTATCTGACGTTTCTAGACCTTTGCACAAGGACAAACAAAAGTGCAGCAGGGTTTCCCCACTGACATCACAGCCACTGGGACTGGGGATGACCTTTAAGGGTGAGCACACACAAGATTTGAGTCTGAACATACGAACCTCTACTCAAGCTCCACAGTTGGGCTTTTGGCCAATCCATGTCAGCTTACTTGTTACTGAAAGGTGAACTGAAAACAACTTAAAATAAGCACAATCTGGAGAAAACTGACATATTACCTTTAGTGAATTTCCCCCACTTGAAGTGACAGCATGTAAGAACAGGAGAGAAAATGAACACGCTGCTGATGACTTATTTCTGTAAGAGGAATATCATTAAACAGACTGATAATTTTGCCAAACATTTACCCTGAATTACAGAAAAGCAAACATCTCTGTACTGCGCAACTTACCATTTGGTGTGACCCGTGATTTATTTAGTGGGTGAACAGGGGAACAGAAACTGGGGATTCCCTTGCCTTCTCATTGCTAGGACTTGGCTGTTTGTAAGTCATTTTCCTCAAAATGCTACTCCCAGAGGTATATTTTTGTCCCATTTGGTTTTCTTAACTAAACTACTGCAAACAATCACTACACAGAAAATACTCTACCCATGATTTTCCTATTGCCCATGATTTGACAAAATGGCTCTTCATTTTATTCATGAGTGCACTGAACAAAACCTACTGTTTGCTGTACAGACTCTCCCAACAGCTGCCATCCTACATAGCATAAAAGGTATCAGGAAAGACCTGTAAAAACACTCGGAATGAGTCAGGAAAATTAACTTGATGCTATACCATCTAGTAAAAACCAGAAGTGAATGTAATGACCAGCTACAAGTCTTGCAAGAAATACTTAAAGACTTCTGGTTTCATATAGATAACTCAGAAGCAGGGCCAACTTTCAGTTTCCTGACGGTCGAAAGCCTGCCTCATTTGAGAGCAGAAAATAACTTAAAATAGCTATCCCTTCTTTAGCTTAGCTATTAGAAATCTCACAGTGACAGGTTTATGCCCTTCTGCTCAAGCAGTAGAAAAGGCTGTACAGAATGAAACGTAAATCTGGTATCAAAGAAGAGGGGAAAATCAATCTGATAAAACTCACAACAAACACACTAACGCAGTGCTGAAGGCATAGAGCCAAGCACTTACACACCAAGTGATTCAGCAAACCTCAGCTTTTCTTCTCTGTGTGCAAGCACTCATATAGAGTCTATGATAAGTTTCTGTTCTGCCCTAGTGACCACAGAGGAAAAATGGAGTGGAATTAAAATTGCATGGACAAAATACATGCTAGCATCTCCAGCTTTCGTTGAGTAGTTTAGTTTAGTAAGTAGGTACTATGTTTTATATTTGTAACATTACCATCAATGCACTTTGTTGGTTGTGGGTAGTTAACACTTCCCATTTTAAGGTCACATTTTCAGCTACTCCCAGTTTGTCAAAAACATTTCTCTGGACTATGAGCACATATACTGTGCCTCCACCTGATTTTTGAGGAAAACCAGAACAAAACTGACTCAGTCGTTTCTAAGAACGATCCTGGGGAATAGAAATACATTCAAAGAATTCTTAACACTTTTATTAAGAAACTCTTCTTCACATTTGAAAAACAGGGACACAAAATTTCACCCAGAGGCTGTGCTGGTGTCACTTTTGGACTTTTTGCTCTTCCTTTGAAAAAAACACACCTATCCGGGCATGTGTTGAACTTTTGAAAGGGTTGAACTTACACATGCTGGCCGGACTTGTTTAGTAGCCAGTTTCCAGCTTTCTCTCCATTGCACATACTGCAGAGTGAGCTGGATGGTCCCTGCAGCAGGCAGCTGACTGCCAGGCTGCCACACACTAAAACTGAAACAGGGGAGGTCATTTCTCCTCTTGTTTCAGGACTCCTGGGATTCTTCATTCTATCAACACAGAATAAAGTCCCATCCAGTTCAAATGCAGAGGAAGCGAAGATGGTTTTAGGTGAGAAAGGAAGATTTATTGGAGAGACAGGAAGACAGGCAAGGACCCAAGATCAAATGGAATGAAGAGATGAAGCGTGAATAAGAAACAAGGTTAGGTGAAGAGAGCAGGATGATTCAGACAGGGTCTTCCCAGCAAAGAGGAACTGCTCCAGAATGAGCAGTCTCAGTCTGATTTTCTATTAATTTCTTGAAGGTCACAGAGCTGAGAGGCCAATAGGCTTTATGTTGAAAGAGAAAAACCAGCCTCCAGGCTGCTGTTTTGCCAAGATCCCCTCCAGAAAGAAATATACAAAGTCCACCAGCCTGGAGCCCCGAGCCATGCTCAGAGGTGTCAATGACTGAAGAAATACTCAGCCATAGGGACAGGAACCCCATGTTAGGAGGCAGTAAGGAATGTGCTATAGCCCATTAGTCAGCTCCAAGCTGGAAAACACCCCGCTGTATACTGCTCAGTCCAGCCTGGCCCAGCAGGAGTTGAGGAAAAGCAGAGCTGGTCAGGAAGCAGGGGGCTGTGGCATTGTGGTCCCCCCTGCCTCAACACCTCCAGGCTAGTGGGCAGGGGTGGCAGAGGTATTTCCCAGCCACCCAACGTCAGAGCACAGCAGCCCTCAGCACACTGCAGTGGTGCAGTTGCATGTCAGCACCATCACAGCACACGCAGCTCAGCCCCCAGCCTGCCCCCACCACAGGGCTTGGGGCAGGAAACCATCCCCAGTGTGGGAAGCCCAGGCCACAGCTCCCTTCACCCTGCTGGGGAAAGGGCATGCAGCACCCACTGGCATGGTCCTCGGGAAAGAAACACACCTGTTTTCACAGTAGGAGGTTACTGCTCAGATGAGGTGCCTCAGATGAGGGTGAATCAGCCACCTGATTCCCACTGGGGACAGGGCATGAATGCTTCCAGCATGAGGGGGTTCTTTGCAGCTGAGGGGCTCAGATATGTAACACACTACACATACATAACACATACCTAACACACTACAGCCCTGGGTTTTCATTTACTGGAATAAAGCATAGGACCAGCCTCTTTATAAGAAGTGTGATGAGGTAATTGCAAAAACACAGCTAGGAGTTTTTGCTTGTGTTATTTAGGCTAAACAGCTTATGTCACCAAGTATTACATAAAGGCAGGCATAATAAGCCCCCTCCCTCACAAAGTCAAGATTAACAGTTTCAAGATAACTTCTTTTTCCCCCCATTTGCTTTTTACTCATTATGGCAAAAAGTATTACTTTCTGTTTCTACAGGGACATCCATTGCAATAGCAGAAATGGAGGTGACTTCACATTAACTGTTTCTTTGCTTGTACCTAACAAGTGAAACCACAGGAAAGGTTAATTTCTGCAATAGAATTTCTTGTTTAAGGTTACTAATCATACACAATTTCAGTACAGAGCTGCTGCTCTTTAAGGAGATTGACTGTGCAGCCCTCTGGGTGGTTCCATCCTCCAAGCCACACACACACACAGAGCAACCAAAAAACAGCAAAGCTTGCAGGAAGTCTGATATCAAAGAGCCTCCCCTCATTGAGTCTTGCTGCATAAGTAACTTTCAGCCACTCTAACAGAGAACTTGCTCTATAAACAAAGAAAAACATTTAAAGCTTAACAGTCAAGGTATTTTTATTTAAAATAAATGAAAACTAATCTGCATAATCTGAAGGTTGTCATATCCAAGGAAACTCCAGAACAGTGATGTCACTCTGCACTGGGCCAAGTAGTAAAATATAAAATATAATCTCAAGTATGCCGAATCAAATCCGAGAAACTAGTAATCTAAATTCTTCCTAAAATTTCTTCAGAAAAGCCTAAGAGTGAGGGAAATAAAAAGCAAGAGCAATTAGAAGGTAACTGCAAAACAAGAGTGAGAAAAAAAATCTAGGTAAAGGCATATACTTTCTATCTATTAGCTAGGTTAGTAGGAGACTAATTGCATAAATGCACATAATGACATAGAGGTCAAGGGCAAAAGAGCCCATAACAGTCTTGGAATACTCAAGTGGAAGAAGCAGTTTAAAAGCATGGTAACCTTACAAGGTTCTAGACTATTTATAACACTTACTTTCCGTATTTGCTCTGCTGTTTCTCTCATCACCTACTTCAGCTTTAATTCCTTCAAATTCATGTCAGATTTTTATTTACACAGGTGCTGAAGTTGTACATACATACTCTAGTACGCAGGCTTGTCACTATTTCAATACCTTAGTTTTAATAGAGGTCACAAAACCAGTTTATAAACTGGTTCTGCTAAAAGCCACTGAAGTAACATGGGTACCGTTTCTTAATTTTAACCTGTGAGTAAACTTAAGGCCTAAGTTTGGGGTATCTTTTTGGAGGGAAGAGGGAAGAATAAGACCTCTCAAATCCACTAAGGCCAAGAGATAAGTTGCACTTGAAGCAAGCTGAAAATCAGAAGTAATAAGGAAAAAAACCTAAGTATATTGTGATAAATATCACTTTCTCCACACATTTGGATTACTAGTAACAGGGGGAATGCTAGAGAATTGAGACCTTGCAAGATATATGCCTCCTTCTATGCCTTTATAGTCTTGACACTAGTTTTTTTTTGGTGGATGTTGAAGATGATTAGAGCTCAGAATTGCTCTTTAATCCAAGCAACTCATTTTCTGTTGTCCACAGAGCTAACTGGGACCTCAGCTGTCAAGGCAGTTCTCAAACTGCACTATTCAGAGGGCATGAATTCAAAACCTGGAAATACTAGAAGCAGGGAAGCAGTGTTGCTGGGCTCCTCATTTACTCTACCATGACATTATCATTCTGTGGGATGTTTTTTATGGCACTGCTCCCCCTTACACAGGCCTCACACTTGGTTGAGTTGCCTGGGCTTTTTAAGCAGATCCCATCTACATTGGGAAAAAAAAAAAAAGAGGCTGAAGATTTTAAATTTCTCTTTGAAAGATATTATTTTACAGCATATACAAAAATACTCTGGAAAAAACATACAATTTCATCTACAAAAGCACCAAATTACAAAGAACTTGCAAGAGAGATACCATAACATTTGTTTCTTATGATCAGAATTTCTCCCCACCCCTCAAAAACCCTGATGCACTAACTGGGTAAGCAGTGTTAGCAGTTTACAGAACCAGACTACTACAAGTTTTCATGTACCCATTCAGAACAGCTTTTAGGGTTTATCTGAAGCCACTTTCTGCATGCCATGTGCTTTCAAGACTGCAGCTGGCAGGTAGGTAGTAGTGTCACACCAGCCTCAGCTGTGCATCTTCAGCTGTGTGTTCCAACTTTAGCTTTACTACCCATTGACAATAAAAAGACCCATCAAGTTTCATGCTGGAGCAGTCTTAAAGACAAAAATCAGATAACATGGCTTGAGACACGTCCATCAACTCTATACCTGGGTACCGTCCTCTGCTGCATTTCCTCCAGTATTTGAGTTACTTATGGGCCTCCATGGGAGGCAGTACTTGTGTAGTGCATGGCTGTGCTAGACAGTGGAAAGCTACCACTTGAGGAAGCTGAGCACCATTGTGACAGATGCGCAGGAGGGAACGTGCCAAATGGGAAAATAATTTAAGATAAGAACAATGGATGCACATGAACTAGGAAAGCACAGATAAATACAAGCACGTTCATACACTTGAACTCAGAATGTGGTTGCAGTGACTAGTTAACCAACCCTATTTACATGCATTCTGAATCCCAAGTCACAGGACAGGTCACTTTTGTGGCTTTCTCCAAAGCTGTTTCAGCTAGTGACAATTAAGACTTTAAAAAAGACTAGGAAGTATAAACTGTTACAAGAATGTGCAAAGAGTACATCAAAGCATTGAACAATGCTATAAAACAAGACCATGATTTTAACTGGCCAGTTGCATATGGCAAGAGTGACCTTCCATATTCTTGTTTGTAACTACAATACATGTTGATAATACGGATCTCTAAAGTGCTTTCCATCTTCACCCGAAGAGAAACCAGCTACCCATTAAGGGTAAGTTTGATGGATCTTTTAATAATACGAATGCTATTTGTTGGAACAGGAGATGAAGAATCTGGTAGTTCTTTACTGGAAAGCCTCTAAAACACACAAAAAGATGCCACAAAAACAGAAAAAGGAAAAAAAAAGGGAAGTTTTGAATTCATTAATTCAGAAGTAGCAGCAGATAAACCCTTTCCTAGCTGAATATAACATTCTTTATGTACCAAAACACTATGGCCCAAACCCAAATATTTCTACATGGATTTTCTGTTCACCACACCACTTGTTATCACCAGTTGACAGAGGAAAAGCATTTTCCCCTCTGCACATTTCTTTCCTGACATCAACTGAGATAATTATATTCCCGAGGAAGGGAAATAAGTTGCAAGTTCCATAAGAGCATAAGAGGAAGCCATCATTCTTCTCAGAACCACGGATCAGGACTGTCTCTACTGGCCACTTACACACTTCAAAGCTTCCAAGTCTTGTCACAGAAATCAGTATACAATAATTTAGATAATAAGAGCCCCTTATGGAAGACCTGCAAGGAGTACAGACCTTTTCGCTCCTGAAAAAAAATGAGGAAATAAACTGTGCCAGTGTTTGAGAGCCAGGAAATGTGGTTTTCAGAGTTTAATAACTTGGAAGCTTTGGCTTCACTTTTGTGAGTATACCTGAAGGTCATTGTTCAGCTATTCAGTTTGGTGAAAGCATGATATGCAAAAGCTTATAACTACTTTGAACCCCCAAGTTTACAGG